TCCATTTGATCTTGACATTAATTTCCTCAACATGCACTGATGTGGGGAAACCGAAAAAGCATGATGAAGGAATTCAAGATTTGCGGCCGTTTTGTTATATTTCTGCCAGACCTTTCCATATGAATATTCGTATAAACAGACATCCATATACACAGAAATAAATGCATATATATCAAATTATCAAATAAATATACATTTATTTTTCTATCTGTACGGTAGACATGCATGTCTAGACTGACAGATATTAATTTATTTCTGTAATTGTGCATGTCCGTGTAATGAATGTCGATTATGTTGGGCCTGGCACAATAATAACGCCGTGGATATTGTTCCGGCACCGGATTTTATAACATTTTGGCTATTCGTCTGGCATACACTCGCGCTTGCGCAGTCAGTAATTCGGTCTGTCATTTCAAGCACATCAAAATTTTTAATTATTCTTAGGACCGAATACATGCTAAGTTTGCTACACTATGACATTTCTGTGATTTTCATCCCTATTCTGTGATTTTATCGTGCCTATAAACGATAGGACCGCATCCGTCAGAGACGAAGTCCCCGACTCCCGCTAACAATAGTGGGGGTTCCCGTGGGGAATCGAGGTTGGGGGGGGGTGATTTTGTTCATACCAGTCCTTGAATCTTTGACATAAAACTGTGCGAAAGTGCTCTCTTGAAATTTGGTCAAGCTGTCCACATCAGCAAAACAGGCAAATTCAGTTCCAACTTTGAAGGAATCCATACTCGATGATCGACCCTTAGCCATGAACAATAAACAACACAAAATAGCGCCAAAGTTTGTATGCAATGCTAATGCGTAAGCGCGAGTGTTTGCGCGCAAATAGTTAGTGCGCGTGTATGCCGGACGAATAGCCAAACTGCTATAAAATCCGGTGCCGGAACAATATCCACAGCGTATTAACAAACCGGCCGTTGCTCTTGCGGAATCCGGAATGGGCCTTCCCTTGATGGTATAAAGTTGTGTTGTAAAGATCTGTTAACTTAGGAAGTGAGACATATTTGTTAAGTTATTTCCAATGAAAGTGACTGAAGTGATTCGGTGCCTTATCAATTATTTTAGTGAAGTTTTCTTTATGTTTTATAGCTTTGATAAATTTGGAAATGAAACCTAACACCGATTTTCGGGTGAACGAAGCATTTTTCTAATAGCTTTCGTCGTGTTATCTGGCACTCATTTCCTTCACAAGTGAACAACAGCTACAATATCTGCCATGATAGCTGTGGAGGTCATGATATATATCAGGGAATTTGGCGATAAATTCGAGAAATATCGGCAGAACACTAGCAAGTCCATATATTGACGCGTTTCCGGGTTAGAGATTCTTCAATCCCTTACACCCTCTTTCAGTCGGCAGGCTCCCCCTCATCCCCCGTCTGGCCTATACAAATCTTTACCTCATAAGTTCTGGCAGGAAAGACCCTTATCTCGGTAATTGTTTTACACACTCTTACCTTAAGCACGGGCCAAGGTGCAGGTCACTCGGATCGTCGCGGTTTTCAGGTCGCCGTTGGCGGGAATTGCAATCACTAGCCGCCCTTTCTTATCGAACAGCGGGTGCTACGGTTTCGCAGAGTCGAAGAAAAACTCCAAGAACTTGTGGTAAACTACTTCAGGTTTGTACTGCACTTCCACTAACAGTACACCTCGATTTCTTCATCGTATTTATCCTCACACCCTACACACTGTCTAGCCATGATGGAACTGATTTGAATTTCAACTGCCTTTCCCTAGGTCCACCTTCTATTGTCACGTGATGATCTATTTCATATCTGATTGGTTGCATTGAGGTGGATGTCAAGTTCCTATGGACACGTCACGTTGAAGTACGAATCTAATTGGCTCATTTGATTTCCCTCACATACGTCATCCGCTACGCGCTCAGAGGGTTTTAATAACGACTTTATTCTGTCGCGGCGCTAGAGGGGCCGTTCTTGGAAATCGTGTACTTTATACCATTTCTAATACCGTTATCATTCATTTGCGAAGAAAATGGTATAGAAGAAAACTTCCAAAGGATAATGTGGTCTATTACTTGGTAAGCTCAGATTCTTTAATTTAGGGGTTAGGTTTCATTCCCCATAATACCTAATGCTTTATATGTTTGCATTTCTTTTAATGTTTTACTGTTTTATTACAAGGTTTCATATGTCGCCATTTCTCTTGGAAGTGGATAGTAAAAGGGATTGGAGAAGAGAAGGAAAGGTAGAGGGGAAAAGAGAATACCTTGCAAAATTAGTCCATTGAGAGCTGAAGCCAAAGATAAGGGTGATCCCGAATGGGTCCTAGTCTTCGTCTCCTGAGCCCCCTATGACAACAACGGGCTTGGGGCTGGGAGGTTAATGGTTACAAAGCAAAATGTGCTAAACACCAAAAGGTCGTATAGCACTATAGAATGGTGTAGTGAAAAGGGTAAAGAAGGGCGATGGTAGATAGGGTAGGTAAATTGGCTACGGTTGGGATTACAATGGCGATTTTTTTTTTTTTTTTTTTTTTTTTTAATACTGAAATACTACACGGATGCCTTTGTGGTAAGAAGTGGTTAGCAAAAAGACGAAAGAGCGGAAGGGGAGGGGGGAGGGTAAGGGCTGTCAGATCACTGCTTCAGGAGAAAAGTTAGGAGGGAGTTGTCCAGGGAAGGGGGTGGTTGTGACAAAGTTGTGGGTTTTATCCAGGGAGAGGTGGAAGGGATAATGGGGGATAATGCAGCTGAAGCAGGGAAAATTGAATGTGTTGAGAGGGAGTAGTAAGGAGTGTTGGGGGATTAGGAGGATGGATGGCTGTCGGCAGTTACTTTGAGCGAAGAGGGAATGGGAGCAGAGAGGTGTAGGCCTGTTATTTTGGGTCATTAGGTAGTTTTGAATGTCATTTGTGAATTTGACTGGGGAGGTCTGAGAAAGACTTTCGTATAAAGGGGAGAAGTGGGGACCGATTTTTGAGGACCAAAGGAAGGAAGAGGATGTAGGAGAGACTGTGGTAGATAGGGTGGAACCTTTCGCCTTTGTGCGAATAGTTCTTTGGAAAATAAATAAAGGCCTGTCCGAACAAGTAATCATGGTCGACGGGCACACGGGCGGTCACTAAGATGACGGCACGGGCAGACAATGGTTAATGGTTAAAAGCGAAATAAATGTGCTAGACATCTAAGGTCATATAGCACCATAGGAAGGTACAGTAAAGGGTGATGTCAGGTGATAGTTGCTATGCGTCAACTATCTAGAGTAATGTTGGAAAGTTGAAGATGGGCAAGGGGGTTGGTGAGGGAAAGGGTCAAGGTGGATTAGGTAAGGGAATTAGGTCAAGTGATATTTATGCGTCTGAGGAAGGAGAACAGGTTTTTATAAGAAGCAAACAAACTACTTTGTAAACAGGAAAATACCTCATTTTCTCGCCTTTGACATCACCCTCACATTTGCCCGCCGATCATGCCCACCACTTGGACAGACAGTCAAAGGTACATTTGAGAGATAAACCATTAACTTGATCGAACACACAATGAGCTAAATCACCAGGAAGTGATTGGTGGCTCTAGCTTCTGTAGTAATATTTACTTTTAAGCTTCTGTTTACTCGTTTGAAAACGTTCAGCTGTCAACGTCTGTGCAAAGTTCAATGAGGAAGGATCCATTGAGATTACAAGTTACTGAGAGCTAAGCACGGAGATAGAGGGAAATGGACACCGCTATCTTGTAGAACAAACAACAGCATAAGCTGCAACGGCCACATTTACCGCGAAATGACGAAATTTGCCGCTTTTCACTGCTCAACCTAATTCCACAACACCCTCTTAGCCAGAGTTCTTAATGTCCGAGGTTAATGGTTAAAAGCGAAATGTGCTAGACATACAAGGTCATATAGCACTATAGGAAGGTATAGTAAAGGGTGATGGCAGGTGATAGTTGCTAAGCATTTACTCTAGATAGTTGAATAGCAATGTTGAAAGGTTAAAGATGGGTAAGGCAGTTGAGGGAAGGGTTCTGGTGGTTGAGGCCAGGGAATTAGATCAAGTGAAGGATATTTATGCGTCTGAGGAAGAATGTCCAAGGTGCTAAGGGAGGCACAGGGGGCTTGCCTCTTGTCTAGGGAATAAATAGGTGGCAAAGAAGGTTGGGTGTTCGGGTTCGCATGATACCCTGGTTTTGGGACTCTGCAGGGTGCGTCGCTCTCGGTAACAAATACAACACTTGGTCTCAGTCTCCGAGTCTTACCCCTACCCCCCCCCCTTTCCCACGACAAGGAATAGGGCAAAATGGTAAGGTAGGGGGAAGAAATACTGTGGGAGATGCGGAGACATTTCAGGGAGGGCGAGGGTAATTTAGTATAATATAACAAGCAGGGAGGGAAAATTCTTGTTTTAGCCAAGTCTAAGATCAAGTCTAACCTTACTCAAGATCTGCCACGCTGGCTGTAAACAAATGGGGAAACATGCTCGTCAGTTTTGGCTCCCAAGATAACTTAGTATTTCGTGTACTTGTACATTCCTCTTAGTAAATATTCATCATGAAAGTAACTTAACATTAATATATTAATAGATTAACTGAATTACTTGATATGCATACAATTCCTGATAACACCATATCAAAAATAGTTCCAAGTTGAGAAATGCAAATCTTAGATTGCTTAATAGAAAATTTAGTATTTTGATATACATTTACTATAAAGGGTACACAGTATACCATTTAGTATCATTTCCCATGTTTTTCATACTTTAATCACCCATTGCCTTCACTATACATTTTACTTTAAGCCACTATAACATTTAACCAAATCAATTTTTTTTCATTTCACACAATTTCATATATTGAAGAGGCTGCCAAATCGTATATTAATGGAATCTTAATATAGTGAATGGAATATTAACCCGATAGGACTGCCAACTAAAGTAAGGATGCATCTTTGAAATCAAAGTAAAGTGCAGATAAGGAACGAGGTACTGAGAAGTGAAGAACCAACCCTTACCACATTTGGGATATTAAGAACGGATTTGAAATATTTCTTTATTAGATGCACCACACATCAACACTTACACCTTATCTGTCCTAACCGAACCTCTAGTTTGGGAGGCTTGTTAAGTCTTGGGTTGCAACAAAAACGCCTTTTTCCAAAGATAGCATAATACCTCGCCCTTTGACATATGCTCTTCGACGGAGGGTACTGTGTAGGGCAGGCAGGCGGCGTTCTATCCCTGGAACAAGAAAATGTCATTAATAATGCGGATAGGATATTTTAATACAATTGCTTTTAGTGCGTCCGATCTCGGGAAATTAACTGGCAACTCATCCTCACTTCTGAAGGTCATCGATTCGCCAGATTTCCTGAACTAGGAAGTGGTCACCTTTATTTACACGCCTTCGAAATGTACTAACATTAATTCAATAAATACGTATTCTAATAAAATGGCACAGTGCCTATTTCAGGAAAGGGAAACTGCTAACTCTTTACCTCTGAAGCACATCTTTTTGCCAAATTTCCTTTAGTAGTTTGTTCATTTATAGGACTTAAAATTTATATATTTTTAATGATACCGAGCGAATCAGTAATGCATACAAGGCGAGTTGCTTCCCCCGCCCCAATGACTGGATGAAGTAGTTTGATCTACTTACCAAGACCAATAACACGGCCTAGCATACTCTCCTGTTGGATAAGAGGTTTCGAGGTCGCTAGCCTTTTCCTTCATCATGCTTGGCATTCCCTTCCAGATGTGGTGTAGGTCTGCACACATGGAGTCTCCAATGGGGGTTGGCGACACTGGTTTCATCAAGTCATCGACTGTTGGTGTTCCGAACTCGGGCTGCCATGTATAGGAATTAAGAAATTAGTGAAGGGCTTACACAAAGCTAAGTGAATGTACGGTTTAGCATTTCGTCCCATTTCCTATCCATAATAGGAATTATACACGGAGAGAGGGGGGGGGGGGTAAACGAGCAGGAAGGACTGATTTAAAACTCGCTATTGTTTTTCCACTAGACTAAAGTTCAACCAAATTTGGTTGTCAGTTTGTGTTTCACAGTCTAGTAGATATAGGTTGTGATGTGGCGCTGCACTGGATTTTAGTGCTGAAAACAACTTTTTTCTAATGGAGGGCAAGTTCCCTTACACAAAGGTTGGCTTTAATCAACAATTGAACGTCTATGAAATGCTACTAAACTTAAATATGTGCAAGTATGAATGTACTGTGTAAATCTAATGAAATTGTGGTGCGTATATATAGGTAAAATCGATCACATCGTGTATTTGAGGAATGAACATTTGACAAATGCGATAGTCTCCGCGCGGCATTCTGCACGCCTCTTTTTCGTCGTTTAATTCTAATAGGTTCGCTTCTAAAAATCAATTTTGATAGCAATGATTGTAGTTTTTCCATCGCCTACAACGCTGTTACCTTCAATTTTCTCCTAGTCGGTGCGGTCGTATCGTAAACCTTAACCTGTTGTACACGTGTGAAATATATGTATGTACAAGTGCAGGGGCGTCATTTGTTTTTTCTTGGGTGTCGGAAGGGGGGGCAGGGGCGGGTAGGTGAGCTAGGCAAATAAATTTAGGAAAAAGAGCGGTTAATGCTTACGGTATGGATGCACTACGTTTGGACAAATTTAATATGGTATTCTTGTAGAGGATAAAAAGTTGCAGTCGTCGGTACAAGATATTCTGCTGACATGAATGGTAATGCCAAAAATAAAAGAAAAAAATTGCAGAAAGCATCACACTCCGCTTAAGTCACTCCGTGCTCCCGAGTTTCAGCTCTTATTATCCTCTGAAAATATTAATAAGCCATAAAATTACCCATCACTAGTTTGTGGTTGCCGGCAGCTGTCATTGCTTACATCCAAATTCTATTGCGACATCTCGTCCTGCTCGCCCAGTTCCGTAGGAGGGCGAAATAGACGAGATGGACTTTTTCATCAGGACAAGAAAGTAGAGGTTCCGAACGGTCAACACATTGTCCAACTTGTCTGGACGAGCACGACGAGGAGTTCCGAACGTAGTTTATTCCCTAAACAAGGATGCAAGCCCCTTAGAGTACCCCCTATTTATTAGCACCTCGTGTCAACCTACAGAAAATGGTTATTAACAACTGGCTGTGTGAGGATGTTGTGGACTTCTCTGAACGATACAGCAGATATTTTCGTCAGCTACCGTTAAATACGAGGCCGCTGCAGCTTAAAGTATGCCGTTTCTTATTCTATTTCTTACACTATGAAATGGCATTGTCCATTTCCTTCCATCTTCGCGCGTCGCTCTGTAACCCATACTAACGGTAAATATGATGCCTCCTGCAGCTGTAGCCGTGATGTTTATGGTTATTTGTCCATTCCCCATTATCTGCCCGCAGCATGTCCAGTACGTAGGGTAGTAAACTTTCCCGAAACAAATCCTCCATATACTTCAAATGATTTTTTTTTTTATCTCATGCCGCTTTGGTAATAACACATCTGCATAATTTCCCTACAGCTACCTCATTTTACCTCTATTCCCACAAGTAAAAAAGAAAGAAAACATTAACAATACTCACATCAGTCAGCAGTTTCCCCATTAACTTCCACTTTTCGTTGCTGGCCGGGGTACTCAGCACAACAGCCACTGTGCACATGAGAATGGTATAAAGCAACACCGCCATCGCTGATCTGGAAGGATTTTTGGTATAGATATAATTCCTGCCAGCCATGTTTTAGACGAAAAATAATATGCAAATGATAGGGCGAGTGATTCTAAGAAACTTATCTTCCATGTACTTCAACTGCAACTCAAAAATAACGAAGTTAGAGGACAGGCTAGAATGAATAAATTGGAACATTTTGAAGGAAATTATGTATTAACATTGTCTTATCTGCATGGAAGTAAAATATAGTTTTTGCGGTATGGACGCATTCACTTAGGGTAATTTGAGGACACATATACAAGGCAGTTGCAATCGCGGTACCACAAATCTGCAGACACGAACGCTTACTGCCTCAAACAACGTGAAAGGTCGCGAAAGACTTCACAGCCTGTCCACTCGATACTACCTTGCCCTGCAGCCTAAACTATATTGTATCCTACCATTTATTCCGCTCTATAAGATAGTATAAGAGAGGGAAATGGATGCTATGCGCGCCGCTCTAACTTTTACCGTCAAATGTAATTTACTGTTGAATAAATATTCTGACGCGGAATTTGCGTGCGTGTCCGTACTGTATATGATTACCATAAAATTACCGCACTCTTGAGTCTATTATAAGAATTTGGTATCTACAAATCTACAAGAATATCTTTAATTTGCCCTTGATTAGTGTGCCCATTCTGTTAAGATTAACCGGTACTACGATTAACACAAATCTAATTTCAAGACTGATCGAGCATGAAGAACCATCACATCCGCGCCATGCAACTTTCTTAAGAAACAAACAGTAAACAAACATTTTTGCTGGCAAGTAGTTATATGGAATGCGTATCTATCCCTTACGATTTACTATTCAAACAAAATTACGGAAAGATTGTGAGGTAGATCTTACCTGTGGATGTACGAGGCTGAGAGTCTGGTACCCGAGTGAGACCAGTTTCATGGAAGTGAAAACGCAAAGTTCGCCAACAACAAACCCGCGAATTCTAAAATGACTAGGTAACTTTACTGCCAGCCCGCTACTTTTCCAGACGAGCTGTTTGGCAGTTGTTACATTTCCTATAAATCATACTATATCTGCTTATGAGGTTTCTTATCATACGATATTTGCTTTTAAGGAATTTTTATTAACAAATGGAGTGGGCTGTGGTCGGAATGTATTTGTAAATTGATGCTATATATTTTTTTTCGCTAAAAGACGAAATGCGACATATGGTAATGATAACCATATATAGGCAAACAGGCGGTGGTTGGGGGAAGCACACGGTTGTATCCTTGTCAACGGTACCACACGACAACGAATTTTTTGGAATGTACACCCGAAAAGGATTTTTAAAAAGTGAATAGCAGAAAATATACAAATGATATACAAGCAATTAGTTTATTTTGCTTGCTTGACGTCATTCATTTTCGTGCGCAATTGGAGGGGTTTCCAATCCACAACCCACACCCCCTTTCCCTACAGTATAAGGCAAAGTAGAAAAGACGGGAAGGTACTGACAAAACAAATAGGATCTCGGAATCTTTCGAAGTGTGTTGATAGGTTAACAGATGACATTGGTTAAGGTTGACCGGAAAGTAAAGCTAGAATTCCATGGTTGTTTTTCTTTTGAGTCCGAACCACTTGTAGAATCGTAAACAATTCCCGCTTCTTGTTAGTTTTGCAGATATGATTTTCTTATTTTCATTTAGATCGTGTGTGTCATTTCTTATTTTCATTTAGATCGTGTGTATCATTTCTTATTTTCATATTCATTTCTCATACTGCTGATACTAATGTTATAATTGCTTTTTGTTTAGGCC